CTGTCAAATAGAACTTTGGTTGAATGATTTGATATCGAATGGCCCACAAACAAAACTTTCAATTTGTTTTCTCAACTTTGATATATATATATATTTTTTTTTTATTTGGTATTTTAATGCCCTATAATGAATATTAGAGATGATGTGTAGTTAACTATTTAGTATATCAAGGTTATAGATCGTCAGATAATCAGTCAAATGACTTTACTAAACAAAATAATAAGTTTTTAGAATTAAAAGCCAACATTTCAGCCAAAAATGTGGACCACTATCCTCATAGCTAAAATAGATCAGATTGATATAACAAAAGACAGACTAAGAAAATTTACATACAAAAAAATAGAAAGACTAAATCCTATAATAAATAAATATTAATGGCGGAGAAATGCTAGACTGTACTATAGTAAGATAAGCTGGTTGGGGGTTGCAGTCAGTGAAGTAAACAAACAAAATTTTTAGTTTCTTACTGCTGATATTTCTGCAAAATTTAAGCCATCATCAATGCTAAGCAAAGACGAAATAACAACTTTATGATGATAATAAATTATGACAATAAGAAAGAAAAAGAGAACTTAAGCAAAATAAAAAGACACAAATTATATAAAAAATAGTTCATTATGTACTAAAAAATAAATACAAAGAGAATAAAAAATACATTGATCGAGATGTGTAAAAACAATTAGAATAGTATATGTAAGTAGTTAATCATAACATTAATAAATAATGAATGGAAAATATATGATAAATAAACCAAGAAAGTAGTACAGTTATGGTAAAAAAGTGATAAAATAAACAATATAACAGTCCAAGTTTATATATAATATATTTTCCATTCATTATTAATTAATATTATGTTTAACTATTTACATCTACAGATGTAATTGTTTTACGTATCATAGACAACATACCTTTCATTCATTTCTTTGTATTTATTTTTTAGTATTGGATTTGGTCTAGGAAAACTTCGGCTTGACCAAACTAGGGACTTTTATGTCATTTCATAGTTTATTTTTGTTTCTAATTTTATGATGGAAGACTTGGTATAGTTTATATAAATAATAAGTGATAGCTCTTCCACATATAATCAACCATACCATGTCTCACGGAAATGGACTAAAAAAATAAAAAACAATTTTTCATTTAACTAATAATCAGGCATTTCCTTTAAAAGTTTAAAAACTCAATTTAGAAATGTCAGTTAAGATGTCGATGCTCTAATTTCAAAGCTTCATAATTGTATTTGTAAGATGTTGTGTTGTAACTTATCTATGTACTTAATAAAAGCTGTATATTCAGGTTTGTCAATTTTCAAGCAAATATGGCATTTGTTTTATTTATAATTTTTATTCTTTTTCTTTAATAACTCTTGTGTTTAAATCATTATCATAACAAACTCAATTTATGTGATACTTCAGGTTTCTCTCCTAAATATTATATACTTTCTGTCATTACCAAAGAATGGATTTTTATATAATTGCAAATTTTTTTGTAAGCAGTTTTTAAACTGCTAATCAAGCATCTTTACAAATAAATACTCAGACATGTAATTAGAAAAATATTAAATTGCATATTTGAAAGTAAATACATACAAATCTATACTTTGATTTCAGTTAAGAAAAAAAAAAAACTTCTAGAGTACAATCGTGGGTTAATTCTCAATCAACTTACAAAAAAATAAAGTTATCTTCAGTAATTGACTTCTTGAAATATCTTTCTCATTTCCTTATAAAATCATTTATTATTTGCAATGCCATTAGTAAGTGCATTGTTTTCTTCAAAATTAAAATATACTCTAAACAATAAGTGTATTTGAATATTTTAGCTGGTTTCTGCATATTTGGGAATTTTTTTTTACAGCATATCTTATTGTACATTATAAAGAATATTCTTATAAAAAACAACTTATTACAAAACCAAAACGAAGTCTAAGAAAATTCGACTGTCTAACCATGGTAATGACCGTTGCTATGAATCATAAATTATACATTGGATCTTGAAATCTATGTAGTTTATACAGAACAGAAGCCACAAAAAATGGTAGACAAAGAACTAAAAAACTCCAGCCATTCAAGAGGTAAGATAGCCAGAAGGTGGTGAAAACCTTATTGACAACCATACACTATTCTACTCCAGGAGAACCAATAAAAATGCAACAGCCGGCACAGGGTTTATATTTAATCCAGTGGCAAAGAATTCAATCATAAATTTCACCCTGATAAACAAAAGGATAAGTGTATTACGAGATAAAAGTCATTGGTTTAATATCAAAATAATTCAACATGCATGCACCAATGGAAGATAAAGATGAAGGATGATTTCTATGATCCGATAGAAAATATTGTAGACCAAGCCCATAGACTTGAGATAAAATTAATCATAGATGACTACAATGCCAGGATAAAACCCCAATACAGGCCCATTATTGGGGGCCAAAGTATTCATGAATAGCAATGATAATGGAGTGCGATTTATCAGTCTTTCAGCAGCTAAAAGTTTAGCTATTTGGGGGGCACACACTGTCAATTTGATGTACTTGCGGCACCGGGCACACCCCATTGTATATAATGCCTTCTGCAGGGAGAGGGGTTAGCACCTGTAGTGACCTTTTTCCAGTCCCGTACTCGTGGGAACAAAAATGCAGTCACCACATAGCATCAAAAAACGAACTGACAATAGTGGTAACAATATGGCTCTGGACTTGGAACTACTCACGGAAATGGAATTAATAGAGAAGGAAGTGATTGGGAGATACTAGGAGGGGCTATCGATGGACCTACTTGAGGATAATTCCAGAAGCTCGACTGAGACTATATCAGTCAAAGTTTCTAAGCTCTCTGTAATAACCAAGGAGGAGTTATTATTAAGGGTCTGGCTGATGGAACTGGTGTAACACCAAGACCTAAGTTCTCTGGTGCTCAGAAAAGGAAGTGAAGAGGATGAAGAGGCTCAAGGCGAAGTCAAGGACTAAGCTACCGGTCACAGCAGCTCAGGCTGCAAAGGACCCGCCAGTCACGAAGCGCAGAAGGTCCTCACCAGGGAGCTCAACGCCTGCGGCCAGAAGCAGAGAGGCTGGTGTAATCTATGCTCTAGCGTCTGGGGGCAGTAGGGTGACGTTTATCCCATGTGGATATCTGTCTGCTCAGCTCACCAAGGAGCAGAGTAAAAAGGTGAAAACACAGATGATCAGCTGTAGACCGCAAAGGTGGGTACTGCTTCTTTAAAAATTCCCTAGGAAGAGGAAGTGGAGAAACTTTAGCTTAAAAGAGATAATGACGGGCATCTTCGTCGATATTGAAGGTACATTTGATCGTACCCCAATTGATACAATGACTAGGGCATTGGAAAGTAGAAGGGTTGGACACGTGGCTTTGGAATGGATTAATTCGGTTCTGAGGGGAAGAGTCCTTAAATCAGAGTTGGGATTATCTATACTGTGGTTTAAATCAGTTGGTGGGTGTCCACAGGGAGGTGTGCTGTCTCCGCTTTTGTGGTGTCTTGTTGTCGATTCCCTGATTGCTTAGTTGAATGAGACGGGGTTTTATGCTCAGGGATATGCTGACGATATTGCTGTATTGATAGGGAGCAAATTTCCTGACACAATCTGTGGATAGCTCATAAATACGATGAGACTTCCAAAAGAATGGTGTCAGGACAATGGGCTTGGCATAAATCCACAGAAGATAAATCTTCATATCTTCACTAATAGGAGGAATGTCAAAATTAGGCCACCATCATTAAATGGGTTATCATAATAACAAAATCAGGGACAGGGTAGCCAAAAGGGCTAACGAGTATGCACAGCACCGCCTGGCAACCTGACAATTGATAACTGGATAAAAATAGTCACGAGTTTGCGTCCCAGTGCCAGGAGAGTGTTTTAAATCCCCGCCCTATCCCCCCTGGTCCAGGAAAACCCTATATAGCCTTACAGGCAAGGAAGGGGACAAAAAAAAAAAAAAAAAAAAAAGAATGGGTCATCATTAATAATCTGTAGTAAAGTAAAACATCTTGGGATTACTCTAGATAGTAAGTTTAATTGACTAAGTCATATTGAAAAGATTATTTGGCAAATTGTGGAGGCTGAAATCCAGTATGGCCCTATGGCTATATAGGACTGCGATTAGACCTTAATCCTCTATGTGACTATTGTGTGGAGGCATAGGGCAGCTGCAAGCAAGCTTAGAGTGCTGCTTGGAAAACTAAGGCTTGTGAGCCCTACTACCACTGGAGCTATAAGCACTAACCCCACTGCTGCAATGGAAGTTCTCTTGAACCTGACACCATTGCATTTAGAGGTGGAAGCGAATGCACTTAAAACTGCCTATAGAATAGATAAGTTGGGGGTGTGATCAAAATTCCTGACATTTCAGAGACATGGGATCGTTTTTGATAGGATAGATAGCAACAAGGTGCTCACAATGAACTCAGACCTTCAAGTTGATAAATTGAGAGAAAAATCCTCTGCATGATAACAAGGCTCTGCTTACTATACATGCTATTTTTTATTTTCATCATCTTTTTATTTTTTATGTATTTATCTAATATTTTTATTTTTTATGTTAATGTCAATTTTTCTTTTTGTTGGTTCCCTCTGATCTATTTTAGCACAGAGGATGATCAACATATTTGGGCTGAAATATCAGCTTGTAATAAAAATAAAAAAACTTAATGTTTTGTTTTTCAGCTGAATGTTTATACCTTTAACTAATTTCTTAACAACTTATAATCCTGATATAATACATATTATTCATCATTAAATAATGTATAAATATATTAATCTTCCCGGAATCAATAATTTTTATCCAGATATCCATTAATAGTTATTTAATCATGATAATGATATAAATTTAAATGAATTCAAAGAACGGTGTTTATAAACAATCTTTCAGTTAAATTTTCGAACTAACTATTCTTCCTTGTCAAACTAACATGCGTGTCACAGGCTGTGCTTTAAGAGACTATCTACAACACAGCTACTACAACATGCTGTGCTGGTAAACCTCCGCTTTTGCTGCCAGATCATTGTATTCTCTGTCATCCCGAAGATGTTGGCGACTGTCATCAGAATCAATTGCCAATACCGCTAGAGTGTTGAAGGCTGAAGCAGGAGTAGTATAATCTGAAGGGTTAACTCTTTCTTCATTTTCTTTCATCAGCTGACTTAGTACTTCAGAGTCCTTAGCAACAATATACACTACTGGTGGTTCATCCACTGCTCCACCTACAAAAAAAAATTTAAGTTAAAACATCTACTGTTCTGATGATTTTAAATATATTGCTTTTATCATCAAGAATGATCGCATTGTTGCAAATAGTACACTGTACTATTTTGAAGAAACTAATAAAATAGTACTTACAATAAAATGAAACAATGGTAGCCGATGTGTTATGATATATGAAGCAAAGAATGGCTAATACTTCTAAATAGTTGCCAACTATTGTCAGTAGCTTGAATAAAAAACTTATGTTCACAACACTTTCTCCCAAGTTTAATTGGGAGAAAATCCAATCCAATTGGATTGTTAATCAACAATTTAAAGATTAATTACCACAATTATAGGTTTAAAACTGAAAAATAAATCTAATAAAAAATATTAAACTGAGATAAAGATAATGTGAAATAGGGGAGGGAACATGTAGACGTTACTCAGGCCAGACCCCAAACATTATACTGATTATTTGATTTTAGTTACATAAAAAGTAATAAAATAATATTTCATTGTTAAAATAATTAATTATATATTTGAAAAGAAGCTACTCACCCCAAGACATAGCCTGAACCCTTCTGTTTTCTCTTTTTAGTGTCTCCTGTTCTTGGCTTTTTTCTTCACTAAGAATTTCCCTAAATAAAAAACATAGAATCAGAAAAAAGAATAATCCCTGCCAACTAATAGTTTTCCTTCCTTATACAGGGTGTCCCTTAAGTAGAGAGAAATTTTGGAAGGAGTGATAGCAGACCTCAAGATCTACAAAAACAATGGGCATTGGATATAAAAAATGGGTCAATTTTCAGCTGAAAAGTAGGAAATCCAAGTTTTGTGTTTTTTTAAAGAGTCATGTTTTTTTGTTGAATAGAAAGCGATAACTAAAGAAACATTTAATATAAGTCATTAACAATTTCTTCACTGTAAACTAGATACAGATAGGGGGACCGGAAAGTAATGTTGTTTTTTACTACTACTTGATTTCATTTGGCACTATTTGATTGTCATTTAGCAGCTTATTTTGTACATCTAAGTCATGGCAAAGACATAGTAAGGTTATAGTTACTTGTTTAGTCGCAAATAATTAAATTAAAATTTTGTTTTTGTTGCAATTTTTGGTGAAATTGCCAGCCAAATACTAGAAGAGGTACATTCCGACATTTGCAACAGTTGCTACCAAAAACATTTCCGATGTATATCCAAATGCATTGGATGTTCATAAATGGCAAAGGTGGTTTTTTAAGTTCAAATCTGGTAATCTGGATCTTTCTGACTCCTATCGATCAGGAATACCAAAAACGTTAGACAATGATGTGTTAAGGATGGAAGTCATAGCTTAGTGGAACTAATAGCTTCAACAGCACAATACAGAAGCGGTTTTTGATCACTTGATAACCGGATATGAAAAATAGCAATATAACACTGTATAAGATGAACCCTGGAAAAAATTAATGAATTGGGATTGAAAATTTTAATGATGTCCAACATACCATCTCAATATATTTTGCTCAAAAACCAATTTATTTTGATTGTTCCTGCATTGAAAATGTGCACACCAGATGGCAAAGGGTTGTTGATAATGAGGGTGATTCCATCATTGGTTAAAATAGAAACTCGTGTGAATTTATGTGTTTGAATTTTATGAAAGAAAACAACATTACTTTTCGGTCCCCCTAATAGAATTTACTTCAAATGAAAACAGAGTACATCACTATTAAAACCATTTAAAGAGGACATTTGAGAGGCTAAACTAAGCTATGTTCTGTTTTTAAAAAAATCATAAATTATATTAATTTTTTTCTCTAATTATTCAACTATACTACAGATACCCTACTTTTAGAAAAACTTTCTCATTTAATAAGCTTTAAGTACATATTAATTAAGTTGAGGTTTACTAGGCAAAAACCTGAGATTCTGTAAAGAAATGATATGCTTTTCTATCTAGTCTCCTAAAAGTACCCATATTTTCAGCAAAAATTACTACAATTAACTGTTGCAAAACTTTTATTTATTGTTTTTCCATATTATGGGATGTATTGTAATAAAGATAATTGCCTAAGAACACTTTTTATTTATAAAAACAAAAAATTTAAAAACAATAATTTTTCAAATGAGGTGGTTATGAAATTGTGTTTTTCTTCCAGATTTCTGTCATAGTAATTGATGTGTATTTATAAGTGTCAAACTTAATGTTTCTAACCCTAATATTTACGTTTTCATGACAATAATTAAAGCAATCAGTAGGTTTCTTTATTTTAAACATAAATTAATAAGAAACATTACACATCAATTCTTTACACAACGTGAGGTAAATCTCAAATTTTTTCCTGATAAACCTCAACTCAACTAATACAGACTTAAAGCTTATTAAACGAAGAAGTTTTCCTAAAAGTGAGTTATCCATAGTACAGTTGGATGATAATAAACACAAAAATTACGAATAATTTATGATCTTTTTAAAAACAGAGCTTAGTTTGGAAGCTCAAATTTTCTCTTTAAATAGTTTTAATAATGACAAACTCTATTTTCATTTAAAGTAAATACTTTATAATACTGTAAATTGCCTAGTTTACAGCAAAGTAATTGTTAATTACTTACATTAAATATTTCTTTGGTTATCACTTCCTATTCAACAAAAAATATGACTTTCTTAAAAAAAAAACAACTTAGATTAACTACTTTTCTGCTAAAAATTGGTCCATTGTTTATATCAACTTTTTTGTAGTACTTGGGGTCTGCTATCACTCCTATAACAATTTCCCTCTACTTACCAGACACCCTGTGTAATTCATAATACAATAAATCTTATTCATCTAAAATGCATTGACAACTCAGATCAGCCTTATGCATAAGTAAAAAAGTAAATAAATAACAAATCTTGGTTCATAATCTCTTAAAAGAGACAAGATTGGCTAAATCAGCATATGACATATTGTAGCTGGGTAATGAGAGCTATGATCAATCATATATGATTCCTCACAACCTTATTTTGAATTGTTAAACTTAGCCATTACTTCTCTTTTATCAAGTAGCTATTCGTTTGTCTTCATAATTCAATGTCGTCGGGTTAAAAAGTAATGCTGTTACATTCCTATAAAATACATAGAAAGGAAAAATATTACAATTATGAAAAATTCCTATTCCTATTTCTCAACGGAAATACACATTTTGTGGCACCCTGAGTCTAAACCAAGTTTTACAATATGCTCAGAATATATGTAATATATCTTTAAAAAAATTGCACAAAACTGAAATTACATATGTAGAGCAGATATGAGAGAAGACTTAAATAATAATAAAAGGCTTAGCAAAACCGAAGGTTCGATGCCGACACAACCAATTGCTTATTACACATCCCCCTCCACTGTTCGCCGTCCTAACCCAGTCCCTTCATATCGGCTTCAACGCAATCTTCCCCCCTTCGTTTAGGTCTACCCCTCAGATGTTTACCATTCGGTACAGCAAATATTAACCTTTAAGGAATTCTTTGATTACTAAGTCCAACAATTTTACAAGCCAATTTGATTCGTCCCGATGTAATCACCTCAATTATATTAACCGGATACAGTTCACGCGATTCGGAGTTGTGTAACTGTTTCAACTCTCCGGTTAACTCATCCTTGTTCGGTCCGAATATTCTATGCAATAATTTATTTTCAAAAACCGTAAGACACTGTTCATCCCTTAATGTAAGCGGTCACGTTTTGCATCCATAAAGAACTGTAAGTAAGATAATGGTTTTTGTAGATTCACATGTTTCGGACATACACATCATAACTAGATTTACTAATTTTTTTGGAATCCTCTGCTCAATTATAATGTTATACGGTTTCTGGCGGTCAATGCAATCATAAGCCTTTTGGAAATCGATATACAGCTGGTGAACAACACCATTGTACTCTAATTTTTTCTCCAATATTTGCCATAAAGAAAATATTTGATCAATAATCGAACAGTTCCTTATGAATCCGAAATGGTAGTCTTCGATAATTTTCTCAGTGTATTCCGTGATTTGACTAGTTAAGATTAAAGTGAATATTTTATACCATACCGGAAGGAGTGAAATTCCTTGATAATTATTACAATCCGTGCTCAGACCCTTTTTGTGAATCGGAATAAGAATAGATTATTTCCATTGATTTTGGTGATTGGGAACTGTGGCAAGTATGGTTGGGTTTTCAAAATCAAATGTGTGGTTAAGGATTATCGCGTGTTCGGCTACTTTCGAGGCCAGTGGGTTTCGTGTGGAGATGCTGGATTGTGTATTTGTGTTAATATATTCATTTTTTTAGATAGCTTTTGGTTTCTCCTATATAAGGAGAATTGCAATTTGGGTTAGAGCATATGATATAGTATACAATATTTGATTTCTGTAGGAGTGAAACAGGATCTTTGAGTTTGGTGTATAGATTTTTTAATTTACTATTATTTTTGAAAACTATTTGAGAGCAGTCTGTGGGAGACTGGTGAAGATGAGGTTTTGAATTGATTTTTAATTAGGCTTTTTATAATGTGATCAGGAAAGGCGTTGGATTTCAGGATCTTGTGTAGTTTAGTTAGGTTATTGTAGTGGAATTGCAGGTCGATTAATGTTAGACTGTGGTGTATCAGGTTTTTAGCTACACTGATTTTTTGGTGATAAGGATGTTGGGAAAAATAGTTTAGGAGATGGCCGGAGTAGGTAGGTTTGGTGTACCAATTGGTGGATAAGGTATTATCACTATTTCTGGAAATGAGGAGATCAAGAAATGGGAGGGAATTATTTGATTCTATTTCAATGGTAAAAAGGAGTCAACGGGTGGTATGAGTTCAATGCAGAAAGTATGTTTGGAATACTGTGGGGGTTGAGGATTAATAAAAGGTCGTCAACATATTTTTTAATGAAAAAAAAAATGTCGGAACTAATAAAAACTTCATCATGACTGCGTCCTGAATATTTATCACTCATTATATGTAGAACAGTCGACTAACTTCCTTCAATAATTCGGGAATATATTTAATTGATTTGTATTTATTTTTAGCATATATTATCTCATTTATCATCTTTTCAAAATAGAATTTTCTGCTATTCGGCATTTTATTTACATACATATCAACCCTCATAACTTCACATTAGTTTAAAATTAATTAATTAATAACGCACCAGTGCCTATGGATAAGGTTGAGCAGAACTGGCTGTTTACATTTGAACACCCACTGCCACCACAGTATTTATGCTTTAGATACATTCAGTTAAGGATTAGTTGAGCGTCTTGCCTTAATTCCAAGCAGACGAGTCTAGCTTATGTCCTCATCAGGACCCTTACGAGATCTCTCATTTTTTTAATGGTTAAGGTGGTGCAGGCTGTTAATTGTTTTGTTTTTTCGCCCACATTTGGAACATTGTGTCATCCTCCAAGGGAAGTTCATGCTGCAATGCAGTGAAATTTGAGGGACCGACCACAGCTTCACTGTTTTATAGATTCTGGAACATTTTGGAGGTAAGTGAGGTTTTTTTTTTAAAACATTTCTGACTTCTGGGCCTCATGTCTCCACGGGGTGATCAGAGACTTTAATTTTTTCTCATACCTAACAATGAGATAGGACTTTGGACAATATATCAAGTATCTAGAAACAGTGGTCTGGTGGTTAAAGCACT